TGATGCCCGTTGATCTAAGACCGTTACTTGACCACTGCGGACAGATTAGCATGGTGCCTAGATAGTTCAGATCTTATGACCAACAAGGCTCATTCTTGTCGAAAGAACACCAAACTAAATTGCGGAGAAAACGATCTTCAGTTAGAACTGATTTACAAAGCTACGAGAGATGATTTTGGCGCTATTGATTTTCACCGTTGTTGTGATAATAGAGGAGCGACACTAACTGTCATTCAGACATCTAGTGGTATAATTTTTGGCGGGTATACAGGTATTTTTTGGACAAGTAACCACGATTTTAAACCAGATCCGACTGCGTTTTTGTTTATATTAATAAATCCACATCAGATTCCGCCAACAAAATTTCCTATCATACCTACATTTATTCGGTCGATCTTATGCACTATTTTACCGAGAGTGTATGCCCGTTGGTTATAGTAGCAATGTTTGAAGAGGCATCGGCTAAAGTATTATTAACATACGGTACTGTTGAAAGAAGAATGGAAAACTTTACGTACGAGATCAATAAGGAATCCAGCAAGCCGCCAATTATCTGAAAGAAACATCTGTCGAAAGGAAAAACTATTGATACTGCTAGTTAAAAGTTATTGTTGTTTCGTCTTCTATCAATTTTACTCCATGATATTATTGAACAACTTAATGCGTTATAATGTGACAGGAATTAGGAAATGCCCTGTAAGGGCATACAAACTACTAACGCGCTAGTCGAATTTATAGCGTTGTAACATTACAAAATATAAGAAAGTCGTCGATGAAAATGCATTATAACACTATAATTTCAATTTTTGGACAGTTTTTTCCACAAAACGCGTTACGCTAATGCGTTACAATGCATTAAAAACACGTTTATTCTAAATTTATCGCGTTATAACGCAATAGAAAAGCTATTACATTACAAGGCATTACGATATATTTAACGCATTATAATGCAATAAATACGAAAAAAAGATCCTATGGGTATATATATATATATAGAATTTATATTTAATAATGTCCTTCCATCTTTTATATTTATGTATTTTGATCTTATCGACATGTAGTTTTTCATTTTCCTTTGTATACCTCTCATATTTTTATCACATTTTCATCTTGTTCTGCTGCACTCTCTAACATATAGCTAATGTATGTATCGTCATAAGTTCTTATTTTTTTCGTTTTCTCTATTTCTAGAAAGACATAATTCATCATAATAAGCCACTGAATTTGTGTACTAGTTTCTATATATAATACTCCTTTTCGTGTGTGTTTTACTTATTTGCTAATGACGAAGAAATTCGACAGCACTTTAGCGTTCTAATATTAGTCTTCCCTCCTTTGTTTTTTCTTAATAAAAATTTCAAAAACCACCTTGGGTATACATCAACAAACATACACACGGTGACAGCACATTATCAGTCAATATCGCCATCTAACCTATTGATTAATGAACTACTCACTCGTAAAGATTTTGACCATTTCCAATATCACTCTCGTCTTGCTTGTTTTGTATTTATTATGGTACATTCGATATGAAGTTGAATCGATCCAGTCTGCACTGCACAATCTCGAACACTCGAATAAGGAGATTAGTGCTTTCAGCAGCACGAAGAGAAGCGTTAACCACCAAAGGATAAATAATCCATTTCTAAAAAATATTTCTGAGTTTCATAAGATGGTTAGTTCAGTTTGGATCCCAGAAATCGAAGGAAACATTACGAAAGTCGGCAGTGATTATGACAGTTTTGTCCAATGGCTTTATCCGTATACAGAACGTGTTACAAAATTAAATCCAATCCAGCCGCCACCGATGCATAGTGTCAAAAGGATATTGATATTTATGGATGGAAGGTGTGAAAAACGGCAATTATTTACAGTCCAACATACCTATTATTTACTTGATTCACTTCGTCCACAGTCTGAAAAAACATGGGGAGTGTTCATTATTCACACACCTCAATGTGAACATTTTTGGATAGAAAATTTGAAAGTTTATCCACAAGGATCCGGCCATCATATTCGGTTATTTCAACTATCAGAAATTGTACGTAACACTGCAAACTATTTGCCTGTTTCTTCTGTATTTTTGTCAGATATTCTTCCGTCGAATGTTCAGGAGTATTTGTATGTTCAAGCTGATGGAACAATGTTGCGTTCACCATATTTACCATCGATGATTGATGGATATACAAACGGAACTCTGTTTGAAGAATTATTGTCCAAGTATCCAATACTTGGAGCTCCTCTGCCAGAATTTCAAGCTCGTCATATGGGCCAGAACTTTATGCCAATTTTTAAGTTCTTAACCAACGGCGGTATGACATTTCGTAAACGATCAGTGATGATGGATCTTATCAGTAAGATAAAATGTGACTCCAACGGGAAACAACAAGATCATTGTTATCGAACTGATTTATTTTTGACTCATGATCATTCGTATTCCAGTGAAGATTGGTTTATTGCCTTACAAATCAGTCAACGTGAATATTATCGTCGACAGTTTCCTTCGCAAATTATGCTCGCTCAGTTTGCAATTGAACATGGAGATCCTTTATTTCTTCCACAAGCACAATCAGACACTCAGTATAACTTTCAGAATCGAACCCTACCTTTTTTTTTACATCAATTATGGGGAAAAAGAAAATATTGGATGCCACTTTTAGCACAAGTCGG